GATTTGCTAAATGTAAATGTTAGCTTATACACGGTGAACAGCTCATTCCGCTTTAGACAGAGATTTTCTTCACTTCTTGTCCTGAGCTATTAAGATAGTTTGAGAGCCCTTCTCCTCCAGCTCTTCACAGAACATTGCATCAGAGACAAGGTTCATTTACCACGTCAATTCTTATGAAACGTTTCCTTCTAAAGAATCACAACATTCCAATACAGCTTTGTTTTGTCATTCAAGAACAGAATAAACCATGACCTGTACCTACAGATTTTAAAATGTTTAACATTAGTTGTTCCTGTTTAACTTCCTCCCAAGATACTAACTTTTTTCTAAACACAGAACAGAAATATGTATTGAAGACTTGTGCCTTTTCTGCATTATTATTGATAATTCTGTAATTTCCATTAAATAAAGAACTAATATAATTTTCAGGATTCTTTTTGTTCCAAACACTTTAAAAATGCCTCCTGATTGTCCTTAGATCTGTTGGCCATTGATTTCGCCTAGTTTCTCCTGGCTTTCCTTATCAATATTTTATAATTCCTAGATTGTGATATACATTCATTACTATCAACTACCATTTCTTTCTTTTTTTTAATTTTTATAGCTACCTTTACTTCCCCTCTAAATTAGATCATTTTTACCAGTTCAACCTACTTCCTTGATTATGAGATTGTGGCTTTTTGAGCATCTAGTAAATTGTTATTACTGATTCTCAATTATAATTAACATTTTTCTGATTAATTTTTTTCTCCCAGCTGATCTGACATTTTTTTTTCAGTTTTGTGAAAATGGCCACTTTAGAGTATCGATTGTGAAATTAGCTGATGAAAATATAACCATATAGATCACAGTTGCAACCACCATTGTGTATTTGCAGCTAATCTTGAACAAAGTGTACCAAGCGAAGTGTCTATGAAAAACCTATAATTCACCAGTCATGATTATGCCATTTGCATGCCTGTATCATTTTTGTATTTGAAGCTATCAGTGTTGGCTATGTACTTGTATTTCAATAGTTTTGACTCTGAGTAGCACTAGTGAAGCTTTTGGTGTACATATTGTGAAGGGACTGTTCAATTTGGATGGCCTATTGAAGAATAATTGACTCACTTTGGGGATTGCCGATCCACATTGCATAAGCCTCCCTGTGAAAGTTCAGACTAGCATGGGGGCAATGTCATTCACCTGCAAAGAACTGACTTGCCCAGCTGCCTCCAAACACTGTCTTGTTGCTGTTCTTTTCTACCACAAGAACCATGGGATTCCCTCCATATGGCAGAATATATAAAGGTCCTAGAAACCCCTCCTTTTTGTCTCCAATCCTGCTTTTTACCTCTGGAGGATTTTTGCTACAAACTGAAGCTCTAAACAAAGGACTAAATGACCCATTCATGCTGTGGATGTACTCCAGGGTATGTCTACACTACAAAGTTAATTCGAACTAACAGATGTTAGTTCGAATTAACTTTGACAGGCGCTACACACGTGAACCGCTAGTTCGAACTTAATTTGAACTAGCGGAGCGCTTAATTCAAACTAGGTAAACCTCATTCCATGAGGACTAACGCCTAGTTCGAATTAAGTAGTTCGAATTAAGGGCTGTGTAGCCACTTAATTCGAACTAGTGGGAGGGCTAGCCCTCCCCAGCTTTCCCTGGTGGCCACTCTGGGCACTACCAGGGAAACTCTTCTGCCCCCCTCCCGGCCCCGGAGCCCTTAAAGGGGCACGGTCTGGCTACAGTGCCCGTGCCAGGTGCAAGCCTGCCAGCACCCAGCCAGCAGACCCTGCATCTGGTACGGCATGAGGCAGCCACCTGCTGCCAC